ATTGAGGAGGGCAGGGAGTGCATGGTGTGGAGCATGGTGTGGAGCGCTTGGTGGAGAGAGGGGAGGGCAAGATACAAGGCATGATTGGTGATGGCCAATCAGCAGCTTGCCGCGCGAGGTGCATGTTGTGGGTTGTGGGGTTGTCTTTTCTCTCTGCGAAAGAAATTTCGCGTGGAATCCCGCGCGTGGAAAATCGTGCACATTTTTAGGGCGTGGGAAACGTTTGGCGGGCAACCACGCGTGGATTTTTTTGTTTAATTTTTTTTTTGCGTCGTGGTGCCAAAGTCAAAACTCCTCTCGCCGGGATTGCTTTTCTGCTTTTGTTCTGCTGCACCAATGGCCGCGGGCATTTTTCTTTTCGCGCTCCATCCACCCCTGCTGAGATCTCTCTTCCCCGCCTATCCACCAGCAAAACACACCACCGCTTACCAGACACAATGGCACCCACCAAGGCACCCACGGTCACGGACCTCATCAAGGAGGCCATCGAGAACCTGAAGGTCAAGGGCTCCGCCAAGGGCGTCAGCCGCACGGCCATCAAGAACTACATTGGTGACCGCTCCACCATTGCCCGCATCAACCTTTCCCTGAAGCGCCTGGTCGCAAAGGACGAGCTTGTGCAGGTCAAGGACAGCTTCAAGTTCAACGCCAAGGCGCTCGCTGCCAAGAAGAAGGCAGCAACCAAGAAGGCCGCCCCCAAGAAGAAGAAGACCACCACAAAGAAGACCACCACCACCAAGCCCAAGAAGGTGGGGTTCTTCTGCGATTGCTTTTTGTTTTTGTGTGGGGTTGATCCATATGGGAGCTTGCCTGCGTGCACCAAATGCCAATGCGCACTATCCACCATGAGCCCGCCTGTGCCGGTCTTGGTGCGAGGTGGCATGGTTGATTGGTCCTTGGGCTTTGCAACACCGCCGGACACGCTCATGTGCACGGCAACCCCATCAGACGAAGCCCTCCCCCTCTTTTCCCCCCCCCCCCCCGCTTTTGCTCCCTTATTTGTTGTGGATACCCAATGCATATTTCGTTGGCCAACGTATTTTGGACCCTGACAATATTTTGCGTGTGTAACCCACCACCTTTTCCTCATCATCACCGCACCACCTCTCCCATCCATTGGCGATGCCAACCGCGTTCCTACGCACCTTCTCACCCATCTCCCATCCTTTCCTTGCTCCACCTCACAGTCTGCCGCCGCTAAGAAGAAGAAGACGACCAAGAAGTCCACCAAGAAGACGACCACCAAGAAGGGCGCCAAGAAGTCCACGAAGAAGACGACCAAGAAGTCCACCAAGAAGTAAACAGGCATGGCCCTGCCAAGCTTCGTGTGCTTGCATTCACGGGCACGCTATTCTCCCCTCTTTCATGTTTTGTTTGTACGCCTCCTTCATCTCTGCTACCCCTCTTCTGTCCTTAATCTTCCTCTCTCGCTCTCTCTCTCTCTCTCATGGTCGTGACTATGTCGCACGATGTACGTCTGTGTTTTGGCGAGTTGCTTGTCTTATGATGAAGCAGTCAAGTCGCGTGCGTGCGTGTGTGCGGAGCGTGACGTCTCTTGAGACCTGTTCCCCCATTTCTCTCCCTTGCCTCTGCCAACCTTGTGTTTCAACGGGCTGGGTTGTGGTGTCTTTGGCCGTGTTTGCTGTGCACGTCTGTTGGTTCGATCGCGCGTGTACGTGTGTGATTTCATGTACTGGGTCAATTGCTGCCTGCACAGAGCAGAGATGCTTGTCGCTTGGCGCGTTCCTTTTTTGCCCCTTGTGTCTTTTTTCGATTTGTGGGCATGCCAGAGCCAGTGTGGTGCGTGCGCCCTCTTAAATGAGGTGCACTTGCTGGTTTGGTGTCACATGTGTGCATGTGCGTGGATCGCCGGGTTTGCTCGCTTCCCCCTTTTTTTGTATCCTCACGGTCTTCGTTGAGGATTGCTTGAGCACTCGGTTGGCTGTTCTGTTGTGTCTTTGTCCTCATGCCCACAACGGCATAAAGAGCAGAAAAGCAAGTGCCACCAACGCGCAGACGGAAAACGAAAACCAAAAAATCATGGTGCGCCCACTGGCTGCGTTGATATTGGGTGGTGGTGGCGGTTTTTTGTTTTGTTTGTTTGGGTTTTGGGCGCCTCAGAAATCCGGACCTTTGCAACGTAACGGTACACGCAGGTGCTTCAAGGCATGAAATTTGGCGAAAGAAATGTTGTAATGTAGGGGTGAAAAGGAAACAGCAAATTTCGCTATGATACACGCAAAAAATCTCATGCCTCAGTTGTGTGGTGCTGTTGTTGCTGGGCTGTGGTGGATGTGGCGGATGGGGTGATGGTGAGCTGCTGTGCTTGTTGCGCAGCATCTTCAATCTCAGCAGAGGTTTCCGAGAGAGCGAGGCGGCGTGGGGATTGGCTGCTGGAGCTTGTACTTCCCAACGCAAGGGCTCGCAAGCTCCATGTTCGGCTCTTTCTTTCTTCTCCAGGCGCATGGCCAACCTAGATGGTGGTGGTTGGTTGGTTAGTTGGTTAGTTGAGTTGGTTGGTTGGGTGGTTGATTGGTTGGTTAGTTGATGTTGTTGTTTAAGGTGTTGTTGTTTAAGTTGTTGTTGATGTTGATGTTGATGATGATGATGATGATGATGATGATGATGATGATGATGATGATGTTGTTGTTGTTGTTGATGTTGATGTTTATGATGATGATGATGATGTTGTTGTTGTTGTCGTTGATGTTGTTGTTGTTGTTGTTGTTGTTGTTGTTGTTGTTGTTGTTGTTGTTGTTGTTGTTGTTGTTGTCAGCTTGTGAGTGCCAGCTTTGTGACCAGTGCATGTGGTCGTTTGGGACCAGTCTCAAACACAAAGCACCAAAAGAGGTGGCAGAAAAAAAGCACACACCAACAAGCAGCACCGATGGCAACGTACCGAGAGGCGCGGGTTGTGCGGGCTGAGAATGGAGTCTCGGCACACCTTGAAGTCTTTCGTGTCCTGATCGCAGTGCGAACCAAACAACAAGCACGTGAATATCAAACAACAAGAACGTGAATATCAAAGAACAAGAACGTGAATATCAAAGACCCACACGCGAATGGAAGCGCACACACACACACGCACGCACACACACGCTCACACACACACATACACACACACACGCGCACACACGCACGCACACATACACACACACACACACGCTCACACACACACACACATACACACACGCGCGCGCGCGCACACACACACACCATACACACAATCCATGCCCACATGCTCTATACCTGGAACAGCTTCTCGCCCGCCGTCGCCGTGGCGGCGCCGCGTGGTTCAAGCTTCAGCGATTGCTCGTACATGATGTCCTGATGAAGACAGACAGTGCGTAACCAACCGACCAACCAACCGACCAACCAACCAAGCAGCACCAACAGTGAGCCCAAGCCCATCACAACCTCAACACCTCAACCAGGCGCTCGCACGATGACGAGTACGCTCGCGTACACAAACCACTCTTGTCGCGCACCTCGAATTGCTGGATGGAGGCCTTTGAGCCATCAGGCAGCGGTTGAGCCCGCTCATGAACAGGCGGCAGGCGCAGCAAAAACTCCTGTTCGTGTGCGTGTGTGCGTGAATGTGTGAGTGTGTGAGTGTGTGGGTGTGTGTAAGTGGCGCACTCACGTGCCAACAACTTCGATGGCATGTCTCCTGATGGCATATCTTCCCAATACACAAGCACACACACATACACACACACACGCACGCAAGCCAACAACACACCTTGATGATGTCTTCGGTTGCCAGGTTGTATGTGCGGTTCTGGAACTGTTGAATGGTCATGCACGTCTCTCCAACCAGGCGCCTGCAAGTGATTGTTACGCATGCGTTGGACATGGTCATGATCAAAACAGACACACACACAGACACACACAGACACAGACACAGACACAGACACACACACACACACACAGACACACACACACAGGACCAGAAAGACAGAGGGACAGAGAAATGGTAGACAGACGCAGATCAGACAAACAAACACACACACACACACACACCACATCGTACCGTTTGGAAAAGTTGATAATGTCTGAGCCTTGCACGTCCTTGCCGGGTGCGGATGGGTCGAGAGAGAGATAGTCTGGGGAGCCATCCTCCATGAATGTGATGTCAGTCAGATACAGCCCGAGGAACGGGATGCATGGCGGTGACGCCTGCGCAATCGTCTGTAACATTCGGCGTTGTGGTGCAAGGAGGTTGAAACGAAATGAGTTCGGCAGGCAGCAAACGACACTTTTCCACACACACGAACACACACACACACACACACACACACACACACACACACACACACACACACACACACACACACACACGAAAACACACAAACACACACACACACACACACACACACACACACACACACACACACACACACACACACACACACACACACACACACACACACAACACGCGCGCTCTCTTCAATGCTCACCGCCCGCAGGTTGGCGTGATTTGAGCCACCGACTTCCTCCTCAATTGCAGCAAACTTCTCCATCTTCCGCTCCGGAACCGCCTATATGCACACACGGGCACCGCAGGTGAGTGTTCACGAATTTGCAGGCAAAACAGACTTGTACGCAGAGGCAAACACGCAGACTATGACAAGTCAATGATAAGAGAAAGACTACACAACAAAGTCAAAACAACACAAGAACGAAAACACAACCGAACACAAACACGCAAAGACATGCACACACACACACACACAACACAAAAACACAACACAACACAACCCGACTCAACACAACCCAACAGCACGCACCGCCCAGGTGTGTTTGAGGCGCGAAATTGCCGAGTTGCGCAGGGCCTCCTTGAGCGCCATCAGCGAGTTGAAGTTGTTGAGGTGGCGAAGTTCAAACAACACCTGCGATTGAAGTGTGTTTTGTGTTGCAAAGCGGCACAGATGACACGGACACATGGTGGAAGGTGGTGGTGGTCACACATGTCAACAATGAAGGCGCAAGCAGGTGAC